TTTTAGTAGAGACGGGGTTTCACCATGTTGACCAGGATGGTCTCGCTCTCTTGACCTCGTGATCCACCCGCCTTGGCCTCCCAAAGTGCTGGGATTACAGGCGTGAGCCACCACGCCCAGCCTATGTCTCCTCATTCTTGTCTCTTCTGTAAAACTGCTCCAGATTACCAGATGTGGTGGCTCACGCCTGTAAACCCAGCATTTTGGGAGGCCGAGGTGGGCAGATCATGAGGTTGAGAGATTGAGACCAGCCTGGCCAACATGGTGAAACTCCGTCTCTACTAAAAATACAAAAATTAGCCAGGTGTGGTGGTATGCACCTGTAGTCCCAGCTACTCAGGAGTCTGAGGCAGAAGAATCACTTAAACCTGGGAGGCGGAGGTTGTAGTGAGCCGAGATCACACCACTGTACTCCAGCCTGAGCGACAGAGCGAGACTCCATCCGAAAAAAAAGAAAAAGGCCGAGCATGGTGGCTCACACCTGTAATCCCAGCACTTTGGGAGGCTGAGGCTGGTGGATCACCTGAGCTCAGGAGTTCAAGACCAGCCTGACCAACATGGTGAAACCTCATCTCCACTAAAAATACAAAAATTAGCCGGGCAAGATGGCACATGTCTGTAGTCCCAGCTACTTGGGAGGCTGAGGCAGGAGAATTGCATGTACCCAGGAGGCCGAGGTTGCAGTAAGCCAAGATTGCACTACTGCACTCCAGCCTGGGCAAAAAAAAAAAAAAAAAAAACGGCTCCAGATTTAAGATCAAAGGAGAGACCCTGGGATGGGAGGGCACCTCAGCACTGGACTTTCCACATGGACATGTACATAAAGTCTAGCCAGCCTGATGCCCTCATGAAAGAGGCGGTGAGAGCTTTCAGATGGAAAGCTGAGCTTGACCACTTTTAAAGCCAGGTAAAGGAGTACATGTTCTCCAACATGGGCCAGCCAGGAAGATACATCTTAAGTGCTCCAGCCACACAGAACCCAAACCATCAAAACATGATACTTACAAGCACCCACAGAGCATGACCTGTAACGGGGCGTGCAGGACCTTGACTTTCTGTATAAAAACCAATAAAAGACAGATCCACATGTGACTTCTATACCTTCAGGTGAACCCCGTGCCTGCTCTGCCATGGATCAGCCAGCCAGAAAAACCCACAGGCAAGGACCCCCTGGCCGTCAGAGAAGGCCTTGTTCTTTGCAGACCAGGTCAGGAAGCTGGCCGTGATGTCTAAACAGGAGGCCAGTGGGGACTGGCAGGGGCTTGGGTGAGATGACAGAATGGTAACTAAAGGAAAGGATGGGTGGGGGGGTCAGGTGTCCCCAGGGACAGATATGGCTGAAGGCACTCTGGGCAGGGAAAATGCCAAGGCAAACCCTACATACCTGCATGAAGTGCAATTTCTCAAGCCTTTCCATGATAACTGGCAGCAAGACTGGAAGAGATGGGGGAAAAGCTGAGGAGAGGGCTGGGAGGCTCTCCCCAGGACTCCTTCTGCAGTCAGACCAGGAACCAAGTGATTCCCTCTCCTTCCACAGAAGCTCCAGAAAATACTTACCAATAGGCAGAACAGAAGACTAAGTAGGCATGGCCACCCCCAACCTCTCTCCCCAAAGTCCCCGAAGAACAGTGCTTCCAAGCTTCTCAACCTGCACACTTGCAGTAACAGGAGAACATGTGCTACTAAGTCCAAAGCCTCCTTCTCAAAACTCAAAAATGTATATGTACAGTCACATGAACAAATTTTGCAATACGCTCCCTCCTGGAAGCAAACCAAGGCAGGGAATTTATTTTCTCTACCGCTCTTCCAAGCACCCCACACTGTGTCTATACATTAAGCACAAGTGTTTGACAAGCATTAGTAAAGTGAAAATAACTTTCTACCCCATACCTTGGCTGAGCTGATGTTCTGGGAACTAGTGTGGTTCTTCTAGGCTTGCAGTAATCAAGCAAAGCAGTTTGAGAAGCATGGCTGTAGAGGGTGGGCCCCACCTCCCATCCAAAAGTTGAGTGTGGCTGAGATCTCCACCCTGTTGCAGAGTTCCCCAGGATGGAAGGGCTTCCCATCTTACTCATGCCAGGAGCTGCCATGGTGATCCGAGAAATAACTACTTGGGTGATGCCTATGGCTGCAGCTCTCTGAGGGCAGAAAAGAGTAAGTTGTCAGGAATGATGTATTCAGGGTACATGGGCTGCACCAGGGGGCCGAGTCAGAGTCACAGCCAAGTCTGAGATGGCAAAGGGGAAGGGATGGACCCTCCAGGGGCTGAGTGCCCTCACTTAATCCCCTCCCACCTAGCCATACTTTTATGGACCAGAAATGATGGAGAAAGGACAGAAGGGGCCTGTTCTACACAGAGAAACATGGGAAAATGTGATAGGAAGTGATGATGGAGTCAGAGAGGGCTTATCAATCCTATAATGGTGCCCACTCTGACCACTAAGGAGGGGACAGGGTCTGAGAGGGAATTCCCTCCTCCCACCCCAAAGGGAGGCCTCTGCTTACCCGGGAATGACCAATCTCATTTTGATTCCTGTCCTTCACGCAGATTCCCTGGATGAGCTCCCTAAACACAGATAGGAGTTGCTGGACTTGGGAAAGGGGTGATGGAAGCCCGCCAGCCACATAACATTCCAGGGGACCAAGGCCAGGCCACTTAAGCTCCAGGAAGCCACCTCCTGTAGCCTGGGTCTTTGACCTTCCTTCTGCACTCCAACGAGCAATATCTTAGGAGTGATCTAGGGCAGTGGCTAAGAGCACTGGCCCTGGGCCCGGACTGTCTGGGTTGAGCCCGGAAACTGCAGGGGAAGTGTGTGACCTTAAGCACAGTCTTTAACTCTCCCAAAACCTCAGTTGTGCTTATCTGCAAAATAAAGATCGTCCTCGCACCCACTTTACAGAACCTGGTGAGCATTAAATGAGATCATGGCTGTGAAGAGCTTGGTCCAGCACGTGACACAGAGTGGTCACTCCACAAGCAGTAACTATCCTAGCTATTCTTTTTTTTTTTTTTTTTTGAGACAGAGTCTCACTCTGTCACACAGGCTGGAGTTTAGTAGCGTGATCTTGGCTCACTGTAACCTCCACCTCCTGGGTTCATGTGATTTTCCTGCCTCAGCCTCCCCAGTAGCTAGGATTACAGGTGTGTGTTACCATGCCTGACTAATTTTTATATTTTTAGTAGAGATGGGGTTTCACCATGTTGGTCAAGCTGGTCTCAAACTCCTGGCCTCAAGTGATCCTCCCGCCTTGGCCTCCCAAAGTGCTGGGATTACAGGCATCAGCCAGCGCACCCAGCACACCCCAGCTATTCTTCTCAGGCCAGTTCTTGACAGCACTCAACCCAAGCTCTGGTAGGTGGCTGGGACTCATTCTCCTGTCAGGAAAGGGCCACTGGATGGGAAAGGGAAGATGAGCAGGGCAGTATCTGTGCATGACTATTCTGGTAGTGCTCCTTGTACAAAGGCTAGTGTGAACATTTTCCATTTGCTGGTATTCCCAAGAAAATGTGGCTTGTAGATATTGGTGATGGTGCCAATGGTAGAAACAGCAGTGAACACTTATGTAGCATCCATTACGTTCCAGGTGCTGTGTTGAGTGTTTTACATATATTACATCATTAAAACCTCATAACAGAGAAATTTCTCTAGTCAAGAAATAAGAACTGAGAGACACAGTGAGTTTATCCTTTACCTTTTCTGCTGACAAACTTACAGCTGGGTGCCTGGAAAACTTCTGTCTACTCTTCTGGTTTCTTTCAAAGCGCATGGGTTCTGTGCTATCTTTAGCACCTCAGCCTGCTACATTTCATTCTGTATGGCATCCCCAGGACTTGGGAAGTAGGAGTTCACAATTGTAACACAGGTCCAAAAGGACAGGATCCAGCATAAAATTCCACAGGTCCACCTGGTGTTTCCCATCCCATATCACCCAGGAGAGGACTCCCACGGCACTCAACACACAGCCTAACCCGAAGTCACCTACCTCCTGGGGCCATCACCACGGGAACAGCCAATCCCAGTGCTCTTCAGAGGCTCAGCCCAGCAGCCCTCCCCATGCCCACTGAAGTCCCCAGAAGCCACCCACTGCCTTGGTTTCTTGACCCTTTTCTGCAAATCTCATGGTTTGTAGGGAGAAAAAAGGGCCTGTACTCACTGCTGTCGCATCATGGGGATATTGACACAGTTAGCAGCAGCCACTGCAGCAAAGGGCACCCAGCGGCCCACCAAAGGTGGCGCTCTCTGTTGGGGGAAGGGAACAGTAGTTGTTCAGATGCGCTGGAAGATGGGAGGGGAGGGGGCTGAAGGACTACAACACAAAAAAGAAAATTAGACCTTGCTACTGCCACACATCCAGACACCCAGTCTGGGAACCCCACACGCCCTCAAAGGCCCAAGAGGAACCAACCTGGGGACGGCCCTGGTGTATTTCTCATCACTTGGCAGGCGAGGCTCTAGCCATCCCCAATTCACCCAGCCCCAATTCACCCAGCCCCAATTCACCCAGCCTGGGGAACTGTCTCCGGGCGAAGGATGTTTTTCCTAGAACTCTGCTGCCCCCTCGTGGCCACTCTGCTGCAGCAGCCCCAGACCGTACCTTTGTCAACATGTTCATGCCCACTGCCGTGGCCACAGCAGTGGTTGTGGCTGTGAAGTAAGAAAGGGCCATCTGCCTGGGGGAGGAGAGAGATGCTTGGGAGTGGGGAGCCCTGCCGGCTGAGGGCCAGACCACGGGCTTGAAGGAGAAAGTCGGCTGGCTTCACGCCTGAAAACCACACAGAATGTCCCCAGCCTTATCTTGTGACCCTCTCCCTGCTGCTCACAGTACCCCAGCCCCCTTAGCCTTCTTTCAGTGCTTCCTGCCGCGGAGCCTCTGCACACGGCTGCTCCCTATGTCGGGAGGTGTTCCCTGGGCTCATAGATGGTTCAACCCTCATCCTTCAGGACACAGCTGAAATGTCATCTCCACAGAAGAGACTGCTCTAAGTGGCCTAACTACACAGACCTCTGCTGTTCCCTGCCTTGCAACTCTGGTTTTCTGGGTGTTTTTGTTTGTTTGGCTGGTGTTTTTTGAGACTGATCTTAGGCAATCAGCCTGCCTTGGCCTCCCAAGGTGCTAGGGTTACAGGCATGAGCCACTGCGCCCTAGCCCAACCACACATCTTAACAATGTATCCCAGCACCTAGAACCATGCACATCCCCAGCACATAACACACACTCAAGAAGAAATATTTGTAGAATGAATGAATGAACAAATTTGGAATTGGTCTAAGAAGAAGCTCCACTCGTACTTGGCCTGAGAAAATACTTCAAAATCCTGGGAAAGGGTAACTTGGTTACCTGCTCAGTGTAGGCGCTACCCAGGGAGAACTGACAGCCCAGAACCCTTTAGAAAGGCTGTTCGTGGAGGGGCACAAGGACAGCCTGGGGCTCAGGTCTCCTACCTGATTGATGTGGGGGAAGCCGCATTCCTGTTGGTATAGTTGACTAAGGCATTGAAGGACTGGTTCACCCACTGCCAGAAGATCACCGCCGGCATCGTCCTACCAGTGAGGGAGGCCAGGAGAGGCAGAGAGAAGTCACATGGCAGGGAGTCCTGAGAGTATGCTAGTCAAAGCACATGATCTGCAGGTCCCCACACTGTTCCCATACTGTTTTTTTCTTTTGAGACAGAGTCTCGCTCTGCCACACAGGCTGGAGTGCAGTGGTGCAATCTTGGCTCACTGCAACCTCCGCCTCCTGGGTTTAAGCAATTCTCCTGTCTCAGTCCCCCAAGTAGCTAGGACCACAGGCGTGTACCACCATGCCTGGCTAATTTTTTTATTTTTAGTAGAGATGGGGTTTTACTATATTGGTCAGGCTGGTCTTGAACTCCTGATCTCAGATGATCCACCTGTCTTGACCTCCCAAAGTGCTGGGATTACAAGCATGAGCCACAATGCTCAGCCTGTTCCCATACTGTTTTATGCACCTGGGCTTTTGTGCATGCTGGGCCCTCTGCCTCAAATATCTCCTCCTCCTCCTTCTATACATGGCTGAATCCTGCTCCGTTGAGAGATCACTTCCTCCTTGGAACTTTCCTGACCCTTCCCCTGCCCCTCCTGAGACAGAGTAAGTCACTCCGTGCTCCCTGCTCCCACAATCCCATGTTCTTCCTCCAACCTACCACTTACCAAGCTGTACTGTAACTGTTTACTTCTTGATCTCCTCAACAAAACTGAGAGCTCATTGATGGGGTGGGGGTGGGGGATGGGGAGTTACTGAAGTCTTCATATTCCCAACACCCAGCCCAAAGCCCAGCTCAATAGCTGAACCAACCAATGAATGGGGTTGGAAACACAGGGGAGGAAGGAAGAGGTGGGAAGAAGAGTCACACATCCAGCAGCTACAGAGCCAGTCTCTTCTCTCCCCAACCAAGCTAAGAAAAGGGCTTCCTATTGTTTTATTTAGGTGTTACATAATTAAAATCATTGTGGAATAAGTACTTTGTAAAGAGGGAATTGGGGTAGCTTTTTTGTTGAGGGTTCTACAGAGGACTGCCTCAGTTAAAATCCAGGCACCCATATTTCCTGCCTGTTTAAACTTGGACAAGTTCCTCAGCCTCTCTAGAACTCTAGTTCGTCATCGATAAAATGGAAATGATAACAGTACCTATAGGGTAGGGTTGCTGAGAGGGTTAAATGAAGCAATACATGCAAAGAACGTAGCGTAGTGCCTGATTATCTGGTAAGTGACCAATCAAGAGGACTATTATTGTTATCATAGTCTGGCTTCCTGGCTAGCAGATCCAGGCAGATGTACCTCCCATGGCCCTGCCCCCAGGTCCTACCTGTAGAACTGGAGCATAAAGCCCGTGATGATCATGCCGCCAGGGAGCTGGAAGGACATGCGCCCAATGATGTTCATCTTCTCCCCAGTGTCAGGGTGAAAGGCCGAGTCATAAAGCTTCTTGGCATACAGCAGCTGCTCCACTTGGGTGCCCGGGGGCACAATCCCCATCCTGCCACCCAAGGACAGCAGGGAGTCACCATCCTGCCTGATCAATGTCTCCCAGTCTCCCTGCTCTGGTTTCTCCCAGCCCCCAGCCCCAAGATATGCCTATTTGTTCACCTTCAGTTTCCACCCCCTCCCAAGAGAACCCCATCAATGTCACTCTACTGCCTCTAGCCCCTTCCCCTGACCACTCACCTGCTCTTCTCCACCATCACCTTGGCCCAGTCGAGCTCCCGCTCGGATACGAAGACAGTGCGGGGGTCCGTGATGTTCAGGAAGTGCTTCACTCTCCCCAGGAAGGTGCGCTGGTCCCAGCGGGGGACATCAATATTAAAGCCAGACAGGTCAGCCTCCATCTTGCTTACACATAAAACTGTGGACCTAAGGGACAGAGGAAGACGAGGACTGTCTCCTAAATCAAAGCCCACCGCAGAGGACCTGACCACCTCCTACTGTTGCAGACTGCTTGATCTCCTTAGCTCCTGAGCATTATCTGACTCCACCTTGAGGGCCCCAGTGAATGGTCACCAGATTGAGCAACTGGGCACCAACATGCATTTCCTGAGGGCCTGCTGGTGGCCAGCTCTGTGCTTGACCATACTGCAGGAGGGACTGGAAAAGTGACAGTACAGTGCGTGTGCTTGGGGAGCTCTGGGAACAAAAGCCTAACCATTAAGTAGTATATAATATTCTCAGGTACTTCTGGCAGGGAGATGGGAAAGTAGCCATTTCGAAAAACACCGGCCAGGTGTGGTGGTTCACATCTATAATCCCAGCACTTTGGGAGGCCAAGGCAGGCAGATCACGAGATCAGGAGTTCGAGACCAGCCTGGCCAACAACATGGTGAAACCCTGTCTCTACTAAAAATACAAAAATTAACTGAGCCCGGTAGAGGGATCCTGTAATCCCACCTACTTGGGAGGCTGAGGCAGGAGAATTGCTTGAACCTGGGAGGTGGACGTTGCAGTGAGCCAAGATTGCACCACTGTACTGCAGCCTGGATGACAGAACAAGACTCTAGGTTGGGAAAAAAAAAAAAAAAAAAAAAAGAAAGAAAAAGAAAAACCACCCAAAGCCCTTTGTTCTTCTTCTTTTTTTAAATTTTATTTTACCTTTTCTGAGACATGGTCTTATTCTGGAGTGCAGTGGTGCGATCATCGCTCAATGCAACTATAACCTCCTGGGTTCATGGATCCTCCCGCCTCAGCCTCCTGAGTAACTGGGACTACAGGCACACACCACGATGCCTGGCTAATTTTTGTATTTTTTTGTAGAGACAGCACCTCACTATGTTGCCCAGGCTGGTTTCAAACTCTTGGGCTCAAGCAATCTTTCTGCCTCAGTTTCCCAAAGTGCTGGGATTACAGGTGTGAGCTGGTGCATTCGGCCTATTTTAAGATTTAGAGACAGAGTCACATTATGTTACCCAGGCTGGAGTGCAATGGCAATTGACAGGTATAATTATAGCTCGCTGCAGTCTCGAACTCCTGGGCTCAAGCAATCCTCCAACCTCAGCCTGGCAAGTAGCTGGGACTACAGGCATGCACTATCATGCCCAGCCCCTTTCTTCTTCTTAACAAGGTTTACCCTTAAGGGAAACTATTTTACCAGAGCCTAACCACCTTGGGTTTTACCAGAGCTTAACTGACTTGGGAGAAGGGAACTCCAGCCACCTCTTGCCTTCCTGCCTCACCTCAAGAGGACAAGGGGAGGCTGAGAAGCTCTTGTGAAGGTTCAGGGCCACCAGGTCACCAGGAGACTGAGACCTCATCACAGAACTGTAGATCCCTCCATTCCCTCACCTCACCACTGCACCAGCAGGGCACCTGCATCACTACAAGGATTGTAACAAAAAAAGGAACAAGTCTTAGGCCCTATTTAAAAAGTCTCTAGAGACCCATACACAGCAGGGGAGACAAGAACAAAGACACCAGAGGAAAATTTAGCCTTTATACCTATAGCTACAGCAAACAGTAAACACAGCCTAACTCCTGGCCAGATAAACAAAACCTCATCCCTCAGTTCCTCTCAACGGTATATCATGTCCAGCTTTCAGTGAAAAATTACAAGGCATACTAAAAAGAAAAAGGAAAAAACAGTTTGAAGAAACAGGCCAAGCATCAGAACCAGATTTATATATGAGATTTTGGACTTATCAGACCAGGAATTTAAAATAATTATGGTTAAAATAAATAAATTTTAAAAACTATGGTTAATATGCTCTGGTTAATAAGGACTCTGAAGGGAAAGTGGGCAACATACAAGAACAGGCGAATAACGTAAGCAGTGATGGAAACTCTTAAGAATCAAAAGGAGATATTGGAAATCAAAAATACTGTAACAGAGATGAGGAAAGCCTTAGATAGATTCATCAGTAGACTGGACATGGCCAGGGAAAGCATTAGTGAGCTTGAACATGTGTCAACAGAAACTGTCCAAATGCTAAAGGCCCATCCATGGCAGATTGGATAAAGAAAATGTGGTACACGTACACTGTGGAATACTATGCAGCCATGAAAAAAGAACGAGATCCCATCCTTTGCAGGGACATGGATGAAGCTGGAGGCCATTATCCTTAGAAAACTAATCCAGGAACAGAAAACCAAATATCACATGTTCTCACTTATAAGAGGGAGCTAAATGATGAGAACACATGGACACAAAGAGGGGAGCAACAGACACTGGGGCTCACTTGAGGGTGGAGGGTGGGAGGAGGGAGAGGATCAGAAAAAATAACTAATGGGTACTAAACTTAGTACCTGGGTGATGAAATAATCTGTACACAAGTTTACCTATGTAACAAACTTGCACATATACCCCTGAACCTACAGTTAAAGAAACAAATAATATTAATGCAATTATTCTAATATAAGGGCTTGGACTCAGATCCTCCACCCACAAATTCTGTCTCTCATTGAGGAACACTGAGTCCACGGTGGTAGGGATGGTGTGGGAATGTTGACTGGTCTTCCTGGATCGTTAGAATTACTATTTGGGGATGCATACCATCTGATTCTGTCAATCTTTACCCATTTCCACCTATCCCATATCTCATAGAAGAACCATCTCAAGTACTAACTGCTTTATATCCCTTAAAACATTTCTGGTTGGCTGGTGTGGTGGCTCACATCTGTAATCTCAGCACTTTGGGAGGCCGAAGCAGGAAGACCACCTGAGGTCAAGAGTTCAAGACCAGCTTGGCCAACATGGTGAAACCCCATTTTATATTTTTTTCTACCAGAAAACAGAAAAATTAGCTGGGCGAGGTGGTGCACACCTGTAGTCCCAGCTACTGCAGAGGCTGATGTGGGTGGAATGCTTGAGCCCAGGAGGCAGAGGTTGCAGTGAGCTGAGATTGAACCACTGCACTCTAGCCTGGGTGACAGAGTAAGACCCTGTCTACAAAAAATAAAAGAAAATAAAATGAAGAAGTAAATAAATAAACTTTCTTGGACAAACAAAACTGAGGACATTTGTCACTGGCACACCTGACTTACAAGAAAAAATATTTAATGGGTACTAAACTTAGTACATGGGTGATGAAATAACCTGGTCAGGTGCAATGGTTCACACCTATAATCCCGGCATTTTGGCAGGCCAAGGAAGGAGGATCGCTTGAGCCTAGGAGTTTGAGACCAGTCTGGGCAACAGAGTGAAACGCTGTCTCTACACAAATTAAAAAAGAAAAAAAGATAGCCAGGCATGGTGGCATGTGCTGTGTTCCCAGCTACTTGGGAGGCTGAGGTGGGGGTATTGCTTGAGCCTGGGAAGCTAAGGCTAAGCCTGCAGTGAGCTATGATCGTGCCACTGCACCCTAGCCTGGACGACAGAGTGAGACCCTGTCTCCGAAAAAAAAAAAAAAAAAAAATAAACAAAAGAGAAAAACCCTGTCTCCGAAAAAAAAAAAAAAAAAAACAACAAACAAACATAAATAAATAAATAAAAATCTTTGTCTTATTCTGACTTGTTAACAGTTAACAAACAGACACACTTGTTTAAATTAATAATAGCAACAATGTATTTGGTGATTATAGTTTATAGATCAGAGAAATAACATGACACAGTAATATCAAGGACAGAAGGGGGGAATTGGGAGGACTCCATTCTAAGGTACTTGCAGACTCCATGCAGTGGTATAGTATTACTTGAAAGTGGATTTGGATTAGTCATAAATGTATATTGCAAACTCCAGGGTAACCACTAAAAAGGTTTTCAAAAGAAGTGTAATTGATATGCTAGGAGAGGAGAGAAAATGGAGTCATACAAAAAAAGCTGAGGCTTTTACATTTTTGCCTGAAAACTTCAGGAAATCATTGAAAGATTTTAAGAAGAAAAGAGACAAGATCAAATATGTAGTTTACCAAGAACAAACTGGGTAGTCGTGAGAATAAACAGGGTGTGGCCGCACCTCACAGGATGCAGGGAGACCAGCTGGAAGGGAACCCCAGTAATCCAGGCAAGAAGACGTGGGGCTCAGATGAACCCACGGGCACTCAGAGGAGAGATCAAAAGGGGGAGAATCTTTTCAAGAGGTGGAATTGTAGGATCTGCTAAGCAACAGGTATAAGAGGAACATTGTATCAGTCAGGGTTCAACCAGAAAAGCAGAATCAGTAGATTAAGGCAGAAGGACAGACAGACAGACAGATAGGGAGATACCAAAACGAAACATGGGGCAACATGGGGTTCCTTTAACCCCTGGGCTGAAGCTATCTGCCTGCCTCAGCCTCCCAAAGTGCCAGGATTACGGGTGTGAGCCACTGCACCCGGCCTATACATATATATCACACACATATATATGTTGTATATTTTACAAACATATTTGTATACTATATTATAGTTTATAAATATATAAAATGTACAGATATATCAATATATAATTATATAAATGTTTATAATATTTATATATAAAATTTATACAGATATATGGATTATTTATGTTTAAATATAATATATAGCTATATAAATTTTTATATATAAATATTATAAACATATATTTATGTATATATAAATATATATGTTTTATATATTTATAAACATATAACTTTATAAATTATAAATATACATTGATATATCTTTATAAATTTTATAAATTTTTTTCTTTTTTCTTTATTTTTTACCCCCCAGCCTCCCAAATTTTTTTCTTTTTTTAGGCAGGGTCTCGCCCTGTTGCCCAGGGTGGAGTGGAGTGGTGCAATCACAGCTCACTGTAATCTCACATTCCTGGGCTCCAGGAATCCTCCCATCTCAGCCTCCGTAAGTGCTAGGATTATAGGCATGAACCATCACTCCTGGCCTAAATATATATAATACTGACATAATATAACATTGATAAAATATAGACATTGAAGGGCCGGGCGCGGTGGCTCAAGCCTGTAATC